TGTGCCTCGTCTGAGCCAGCGGGTCAGGGTCGTTCAGGGCTGCCTGCCACTGGCCTGTGGGCCATCCGTTGTTGATATCCCTGATGGTGATCGGGACCCCTAGGGTGGAGGCGCTGGGCTTGTGGACCGGTGGAGGGGAGTGCAGCTAAGCTTGGGGTATGGACAAGCAGGTGGGTAGACCATGTGCATGGCCTGGACTCAGCCCAGGTGGGTACAGGGACCCTGTCCATTAGCGCCAGGGCAGAGGAAGAGGGACTGGAGCTTTGAAAGTGTCCACATTAGGAAGCCAAGTCTGGAGAGCAAAGCAGGCAGCTGTGCTGGCCAGGCCACCTTGGAGCCTGCCACGACACTGGTCCTTTGCATATGGGGAGACTGACCATTGACCAGCCAATGAGACGTTTCGTACCCCCCCCCAACCTTGGTATAGTTTACAGGCAATTGAAGAGATTTGACAGGTAATTTTAATCACCAGTAATTAGTACTTTCTCTGCGGGAGATCAGGTCCACAGTCATGGTGAACCTGGCAGGGCTCCTGCCTGAACCCCAGCCTAGGGCAGAGGAGGACCTGCCCAGAAACATCCTCTTACCTCTCACCAAAAGGCACTGTAGTAGAGAAGAACAAATCTGACTCCATTAGATCTGTTTCTTTTCCTTTAATCCTGTGCCCTGTTTTCTGGGCTTAGTCTTGCCAGCTCTGCACTTTGTGTAAAACAATGTTGCTTTTAGCCTGAAATGTACCAGAGAGCCTATTCTCAGGGCTCTGACCTTTAAGGATATTGACACTTCTGCACTCCTATAAAGATAACAAGTTGCAGAATAGAAAATAACCTTTGCTTTGTTGGAGGTTTTACAGGGGCACCGGGACCTAACCAACCTGGGCCTCATTTTGAGAAACTAGAGTGTTCAGGATAACACATTTTGCAAAGGGGTAGACAGCGAGTTACTATCTCATATACAATTTTAAATAAATTTTGAATGAATGACATTTTCAAGTTAGATATTTCCCCCCCCCAAAAAACATCAATTTTCTGTCCATAATGTTACAAATGATGGGCATGTTTCTGTGATGAGGTTTTAACCAGTATTCAGAGTGCCCTTTTGTTTTTCAATCTTTTTTTTAACTAATAACATTTACTATGTATTTTAATTTATGTCAGCATTTTAAACAGAATTGCATTACAAATATGTTTTTAATTGTATTGTTTTTTGTAGTCTTTATGTGCCGTCGCCAATTCTTTTCATATTACATAGAAGTTTTCTCAAATTATGCACCGGGGACTAAGACAGTTGACAGTCAGAATGGTTGGAATTGTGTTCTAAGAAAAACTTTCTCTCGCATGAGCATGTATGTGGTCAGGGCATTTTGCTTGTATGCAGCCTGAAGTGGGTATCGGGTATTATGCGTGTTTAGTACCTGTGTATTTACTTTTTAATTTTTTTATTTTGATTTTTGTCACATAGAATACTGTCTTGGTATAATGTAATCTGTATTTGTGTACCTTTTTTTAACTTTAAAATCTTTGAATGAAATGTTTAATACTCATCGGGAAAAAATCCAAAATCTTTTCACCAAACCCTCAGGGAAAACTGCCACTTCAGGAAGGTGCCCTACGTTACAGCACAGCCCCTGCACACCTGCTCCCGGCCGCCTGCACAGCAGCTTGAGAAGTGTAAATGCCGAGAGCAAACAGTGCCCTTTGGGGTCCGGCCAGCCAGGGCCTGACTCCCAGGGATGCTATTTATTCTGTCTCTAAAATGGGGGTAATCATGCCCAGTATGTGATCGCTGTAGGGATTACATGGGACAGGGGACGCGGGGAAAGTATCTGGCATCACACCCAGCACGTAGCAAGAGCTCAGTATCACCATCACCCGTCGCTGTTGTATTACTATTCGACATTGTTATTACTCTTCCTCCTTATAAACAATGGAATAAATCACGAGAATGCTAGTTTCTCTATGAAGTCGGGTTTCCTAAAATCTCTTTGAGAGGCTGTGCAATTAAATCCAGTGAATGAAAAGCTTCAGCTTCAGAGATACGTCCTCTGCTCTGACACTTTTCCATGTTGATGTTGGAAAAATTTGTTCCACTCTTAACTCCGTATTTTTTTTTCTATCATCAACATACATCTACCCTCCTCTTTTGCCCACTTTTCCTTCTCCCTCCCGTCCCCTGCACATTCATGTTTGTCACAGGGACCTCTAGGAGGCTCACTCAGGGGCTGTGCGTTGGGGTGAACTCAGCGGTGAGAACTGGGGCCCGAGGCAGCCCCAGCGAGGACAGGCCGCACTCAGCAGGAGCAGAGCACGGGAGCCCCACACCGAGTCCAAGGACATGACTCTGCCCCTCAGCAGGGGCCGCGGATCCCCGCGAGATCACCTTTGGATTTGGAGCTCACCGCCTTCGCGGGTTCTCAGGAACCAGCACAATGATTCAGCTCCTACACTCCCCAAGGAAGGGGTTTCGGAAGCTTCCGTGGGTGCAGTCATCACAGTGAGTCTCCGCTGCTTGACCTGCTCAAACAACCCTGCTTACAGATTTTCCTCCTAATCGTTGTTTGGGGGAAGAAAAAGGCACTACGTTAATGTAATTGATTCTCAGATTCCTAGACTTAACTTGATTGCTGGCTATGAACACAAAGGATTAATTCTTTTCTTTTGAAAAGGATGTTTTTCACATATACCAAGTAGAAGATGTTAACACACATGTACCTTCATTGACCTGAATTGTTTGTGAGAAATAAAGAATGCAAGAAAAAAGCCAGTGTACGAATTTTTTTTTTATTTTAAAAGTAAAAAGGTGTTTCCAGAAGACATCTCATATTGACCTCACAATTTTAGTGGGGGAGATTCCTTCAACCCCATACCACTCAACTTCAATTTTTAGAAACCCCAGTAGGCGGAGCCAGGAACTTATAAACTAGGTCCTACTCACCTGCAGTGCCCGGGTGGTGGGTCCCTCAGCTCAAATAATGTGTTCCTGCTCTTCTTCTGAGATGTGGGAATAACATAGATTCACTTACTCCACAGGTTTGCAGGGGAGGTCAAATCACACAATGCGGAGACTTCTCGAAGGAGTAGGTGAGGATGTATGGGGGATTATGGGGGCTTTGCCTCCTGCGTTGATCTGGTTTTAGTTATGCTACTTACTTGGAAGTTTAAAACATCATTAAGGGAGCTCATATATTGTGCCATTTGTCACAGTGGGACATGGTTTGAGAAACTCTCAGTCGGAGTACGTGCTTTGTATAAATGTTTTTATCGGGTTCAGCGAGAACGTGGGCTTGTGGAGATGTGGGCTGGGGAGGTGTGGGTTGGAGACATGATGTGGGCTTAGGGAGATGACGCAGGCTTTGGGAGATGAAAGGGGCTTGGGGACATAAAGCAGGCTTGGGAGATCATGCGGGCTTGGGAGATGATTTGTGCTTGGGGAGAGGATGTGGGCCTGAGATGAAGCAGGCTTGGGGTGGTGAGGTTGGCTTGGGGACCTGTGAGACTGCAAATATGATGCGGGCTTGGGGACATGATGCGGGCTTGGGGAAATGTGGGCTTGGGGACATGACACAGGCTCGGGGAGATGACACGGGCTCATAGACATTTTTCAGGCTTCTGGACATAATGTGGGCTCACTGACACGACGCCGGCTCGGGGACACAACACAGG